GACTCACGGGCACACGCAGACACACGCTATGGATGTACACATCCATGGCACACTCATGCATGCCCAAACTGGCAGACAGACATGAGCACATTCATGTGAATACACTTCCCATGTGTGGGCCTGTGTGTCCTGGGGGCCCCTTGCAGAGGGGAGTGTGGAAAGCTGCCATCCAGCCTGGGTGGGGGAGGGGGAGTGCTTGGACCCAGGGTCCTCCAAGCAGGTCCTGTGCCTTAGGCAGACACTATCGCGGCCCCTAACCTGCCCCAGGTGCCCAGGTCCCCTGGTCCCCTCTGCCCCACACCATCAGATGCCCAGCAGCACCCAGAGCCCCGGTGCCCCTGTCCTCCTCTCAACTCAGCCTGACTGGAGAGGCTGGGGTGTCCTGGCTGGGGCAAATCTCAGGGCCAGCGCCTCCCCTCTCTGGAGCTTCAGAGTCTGGACAAAGCTTCCAGAGCTGGCCTGGCCTCTGTGCTGGACAGGGACTCTGCCACGCTCCGTCCCTGGCCTCAAGCGCCTGCCTGGGGCTTTGTGTCTGCCCTCCCTCCCTGCAGCCCCCTCCCCAGATGTCTGCTGTTTCCTGGGACCTATGTCGGTCACGTTGGCAATTACTGTGCCAACTGATGTCTTGGTCCCTGCCCTCTGGCAGGCAGGGGTGAGCCCTGGGGTGGGGGTGCCCAGCTCCCTCCTGGTCAAGGGGGTGTGAAGAAGAAACAGAGTGGGATGGAGAGCAGGAGCCTTAGTGGGCCTTTCTGGATGCTCCACGATGCCAGCTATGCGTGTGGCCCAGGTGCCATCTGCCTGCCTCTAGACTTGGTCTTCTCTGTGTAGCCCCACGGGATGGGCAGCAGAGGCCCAGAAAGGTTCCAGTGCTTCCAGATCACAAAGCCTGGGGCCATAGCCAGGGGTCCAGGTTCCTGATCCTGGGTTTGGAGCAAACCCTGCCTGGCCTGGCCTGGTCACTGGGTCCTAGGACACAGAGCACTGTGCAGGAGCAGGCCCAGCCACCTGACAAGAGTGACTCTCACACTCTCACACAGGGCCTGGGGCCCTGTGGGCTTCAGGGAATACACAGACAGCGGTGTCACCTTGAGACCTGAGGCCTCAGGCCAACACCTCCGCTCCCCGGATCCTCAGAGCCTGGACAAAGCTTTCTGGCTGGGCTGAGCAGCAGTGACCATGAGGCCTGGTTCTAGGACACCTCTGGCTCTTGGCTGGTCCTGCCTGGTGGTGGGGACCAGTGGACAGAGGGGACCAGAGGCCAGCACTCGGCCAGCCCAATCCCCAGACCCATGCACCCTGGGACACCCTCCCTCCTGGTAAAGGTTGGGGCTCAGGACCGTGGCTGGCCCCATGCCCTCCCTGAGCCTCAGTTTCCCCGGCCTGGCTCAGTCAGTGCTTTGTAGAGGTGACTCCCACTTGAGGAGGCCTCTGCCTGTCCATCCAGCAGTGCAGCCCCAGCTGCTTTTGCGGCAAGCCCTGGGAGGGGCTTCCTGCAGGTGCCCGGCTGTGAGCGGACAGTGACTGTGACTGAGCTCCTTGCCCAGCCTGCCTGCCCCGCCCCCTGCCCTGCCTGACTGCTGGGAACCCAAGGGCGGGAGGGGTCTCCGGTGTGCAATGGACCTCTCCTGGAAGCCACGTGCCACAGCTGCACCCCACCCAAGGTTCTGCAGAGGGGAGGACCCACTGGGCACCCCAGGGCCCTGCATCCCTCAGCCTCAGCCAGGCATGGGGTGAGGCAGCCCCCCTAGGCGCCTATCTGCTCCCTTGGCTCAGCCTCCTCCCCCAGCAGCTGCCCCACGATGCCCTCACAGTGATCCCAGGAGCCCTCTGCAGCTCCACGCAGAGGCCCCACGTGCCTCCGGCCAGGGTGTCCCGCTGCAGGCTCCCTCCTCCTGGGGCTCTGCTCTGTGCCAGCAGCCACAGCCTGGCACAGGAAGGCCATGTGAGGGTCACTGTGACCCAGGCTGGGCCTGTGCCCAGCTCCTCACCCCTGCCGGACAGCTCCATGTGGCGTGGCCAGGTGTGAGCCTGCAGCTGTGCTGGTGCCTGCTGAGGTCAGGGTTCCAGGGGCCCAGGAATCACTTCCCCTTGTGTGCAGCTTTGCCCTCAGAGCCTGCTAAGGTTTCGTTTCTGGAGCTGCCTTCGCAAGGCCCCCCTGCAGGAGGCTGGTTCTGTAAACAGTCTGCGCCCTGGCTCCTCCAAGACACGGAGCTGGCCATGGGCCTGGTGGGTGATGAGGCAGTGAGGGAGGACACTGCGGTGGCAGGAAGAGCAACCCTGAGCTGAGCCTTGCCACCTTGAGGGCACGGGACAGGCGAGGGGCACAGCTGGCTTCGGGCCATTTTGTGACTCAGCAAATAGCAATTTCCCACCTTCCTGGGAAAAGACCACGCCTGTCCAGGGTTCCCCCAAGAGCAGAGGTTTCCAGAACACCACTGAAAGGCGGCTTTAGATAGAGTCAGGGGCTGAGGAGGTGGCTCGTGGTAGAGTTCATGTCTCCCACGCACAGGGCCCTGGGTTTGACCCCCAGCACCACAAAAAAAAAAAAAAAAAAATGCAAAGTTGGCTGAAGTTCTGGGTCTAGGCTCCATGATGATTGGGTCTCGCCCAGCAGAGAACAATCAGAGCCCCAGATGTGGCATAACAGGTGGGGCGAGGGGTGCAGCTGTGTGGGGGGAGCTGGACAGAGAGAAGAAGGAAACCAGGACTCCTGACCTGAAGGAGGCACAACCCACTGAAGTCACCCCGCCCTTATGTGCCAGGGTGCCGGCCTTGGAGGGTCAAGGAGGATCAAGGTCCCATTCTGGCCCAAGTCACTGGGCCTGAGGCGCTCACTCTCCCAGACCCTAGAGGATGCAGGGCTCCTCAGAGGGCAAAGTATGGTCTGCACAGGGGCCCTGGCTCTCTGCTGGGGTGTTGGAGGTACCATGCCAGCTGTCACTGTGAGCCCTGCAGATGTGAGTGCAGGGGCACAGGTCACTTCCTGATCTTGGTGGCCACGGGGTGCTGCTACCCTGATGGAATGCAGTCTGTGGAGGAGGGGCTGAGCACCCCCAGTCAGACCTCACCCTGCAGCCTCAAGACTGAATCACACTCTGCTGGGCCCTGGCAAGTGGGTCACCCAGGCCTCTCAGGGTGCAGGGTGGGCAGGTTTCATGCACCAGAGTTCAGGTGCACCACCCCATACCAGGTTAGGCGGCCCAGAGCAGCCAGGACAGCAGGGTAAGGTGCCCAGGACCTTCTTGTTTCTCTGTACCCACTCCCGGCCCCAATGTCCTGTGGCACCACAGTCTGAAACTACAAGCCAGTCTACCATGGACTGACTCTCAGTCACCGTGAGCCAAAGTAAAGAAACCCTCCTCTTAGCTGCTACCTCAGGCATTTCATTGCCACGACGCAGAGCCGACAGCCTGTATTCCTGGCATCTCAACCTGAAATCCAGCTCTGGAATTCTGCCTGTCTCCGCACCTGGCACTTCTCTGGACCTACAGCTGGGGTGCCTCACAGCTACTGTGGCCCCACGGCTGCTCCTATGGACTGGAGCTGGGCGGCTGAGGAAGGACATAGGCTGGTTGGGTGGGCTGCGTCTGAGGCCCCCTAGCCTGCCATCCCAGGGCTAGAGGTTCCAGCATCTTGCACCCAGTTCAGGGTCCTGGCCCTGCCCCCACCCTTGAGCCTCAGCAGCTTCCGGTGTGGAGGGCATGACAGTGGGCAGGGGTCATACCCTGGCATCTTCCTTCTGTGGGCCATTGTATCCCCATGGGCAACATGGGTGGGGAGACCTTGCCCAGAGGAGCTGACCAACAGGATGGGAAAGAGCTGCTCAGACTAAAGGGCCTCTTCACCAGGGGGTCCAGGCTGGCTGGGCTCCATGCACCCCAGCACATTTGTACAGGGGGTGAACGTGCCAAGAACCCCACCTGCCCCCAGGGCCCAGCCCATATCCATGCACCCCATTGGCCCTGAGGTACCCAGGCCTGTCCCCTCCCTCCACATGCAGGGTCACCATACCCGTGGCTCAGTATCCCTCAACTCTGCTGGTGGCTTCCCAGCCATTCTGGGCACCATATCTCACTTGCATCTGCCCCGGCCCTTGGCATCCCCAGACCAGGAAGCCTGGGCGTCTGGTGACACTACCTCAGTGCAGGGCAGTGCTCCCAGACCCACCCTTGGTTCTCATGGTGGTACTAGGATTGTTCTGGGAAGGCCACTCCCGGAGACTAGGCACTCAGGCCCTGCCTGGGTAGTGGGAAGGCAGGGGCCGTGGGCCTAGCTGCCCTGCACCTCTCCTCTTACTGGGGAACTTAGGGACCTCAGGCCTCCCACCCCACCTCCTGGTACTCCCCTCCCAATCTCAGCAGTATCTCAGTGCCACCCTCTGGGCATTTTGAACTCCAAGGGCCCATTATGTTCCTGCTGACAGGCAAGCTCCCAATGTCCCCAAGGCTGAGGGGATGGTGACTCAGTGGAAGGGGGAAGCTGGCCTCCCAGGGCCTGACTCAGCCCCAGCAAAGATGAGCTCTGTGTGATCACCAAGGGCAGGTGGGCGGTCATGGGGAGGGAGACACAGGGATAGGCAGGTAGGAGGGTTGTGCAGATGGGAAGGAGGCTGAGTGGACCCTACAGCTAGCAGGTGGGGGAGCCTGGTCCATGCAAGGGGCCAGCCGTGAGACCCGTCACTGGGTGGGTACAAAGGCCTGGGTGCTGTGAGACAGTGCCCTCCTCAGGGCAATTGCTGCAGGAAATGAGGTTCTGCTAGAGTCCAGCCCTGCCCCTGGAGCTGCTGCCCATCCACCAACCTGTCTCCAGGGTGTAGGCTGGGCACAGCCCCAGCTGGCCAGCTGGAGTCAAGGTCAGCCAACTAGGCAGGCTGCAAGATGGGCAGCTAGTCCCCTTCACCTGCCCACATCCCCACCTCCCTCTGGTCTCCCAGGGCAAGGTTCCCACAGGAAACCTGCAAGGCACCCAGGCCAAAACCTCCAGAAGACACAAGACACCCATTATATACAAAAAAAGTTTAATTGAAATACCTGTATAAAAAATATGATCTCCAGACATCTCACACTTTTGAACTGAAAGAACCCCCCCGGTCCCGATGCCTAGTCACACCCGGGTCACAGAAACAGGGCTGCTAAAATAAATTAAGGGCTTGAGACTCTGTCCTCCACCCCCAAGTTTCAGAGCCAGCAAGCAGACTGTACACGGTCAATAATTTAAAACCCACCCCAGCGCAGATCGCCCAGGGTGGGATCACCCACTCCCCTTAAATTAGCCACTGTACAATTCTTCCTCCCACGGAGGTGGGGCAGGGGACCTGCTCCAGGGCAGGGATGAAGGCGGGCACAAACAGCCCCCTCTCCTCTCCTCAGCCACCAGGGGCCTGAGGCAGGGCTGCTGGAGGAAGTAACCTCAACAAATAAATTAAACAATAAATAGCCCCAGCAGGCAAGCGCCCGCAGGAATCACACCATAAATAAGACGCTAGCGTGAGGACATAGCTCTTGAGGCGTGGGCGGCAGAGGCCCGACTTGCATTGCTTGTGCGTGGGCATGCCCGGAGGACACCGTGAGAAGGTGGGAGGTGGGCATGGGGACCCTGTGCCCACAACCGGTGCTCCAGGCCAGCCGCGGTCACACGGGAAGGCTGCCTCCTGGGCCCAGCAGCACTGCAGGGGTCTTTAGTCCAAGTGTCCACCCTACGCAGGTGGGACCTCGCTTTGCCCGGAGCCATCTTTGGACAGACCCAGTCCTGTGGAGCAGCGTTCAAAAAGGCACTCAAAGCAAAGGAAACAGGCCCGGTGCCAAGGGCAGAGGTCACCAGGGGTCAGAGGTCACCGCTTTGCACGAGGAGTCAGGCGGCAGAAGTCAGTACTCCCAGGGAGCGCGGTCCCTGCTCACAAGCTCTCGCTGCTGGACGTGGTGCTGGCCCCGTCCTCCGCGTGCAGGGCACAAAGCCTTAGGTCGCAGCTCTCAGGGGCGCCCCCCTCTGCCCCCAGCATCCAGGGGTGGGCGGCGATCTGGTCCAGGGAGGGCCGTTCCGAAGGCCGCAGGGACAGACACCACTCAATGAGCTGCTGGCACTCTGCAGGCAGAGGGGAGGGTCAGGGAGGGCCTGGCTGGCTCCCAGGGAGCCCCGCCCTCAGGCACCCGGGAGGTCCCTGTCAGCACCTGGGGAGACTCTCCTCCGGAAGAACAGGCGGCCGCGCAGGATCTCCTCATCCTGCTCGAAGGGGATGTCGCCGCACACCATGTCGTAGAGGAGCACTCCCAGGGACCACACGGTGGCCGAACGTCCGTGGTAGCGGTGGTAGCGGATCCACTCGGGGGGACTGTACACCCGGGTGCCTGAAGAAACACGAGGTAATCAGGGTTGTTCACCCCAGTCATCCACTCCTCCCCGCCCAGCCTCAAAAATCCTGCCTGTCATCACCCTGGAAAAACCCCAGCGCGGGCGGGGCGGCAGGAAAGGAGTCGTCACATGAGCCAGAGCTCCGGTTTCACAACAAACAGATGCGCCGCGGAGCCGCCAAGACCCCCTCCGCCCCGCCCGAGCAGCCTGGGGGGGAGGGGGCGGCAGGGAGCCCCGGCTTCCCCAGCTCCGCAATGCGGGGATCTCTGCTCGCACGCAGCACGCAGCACGCACGCACGCGCGCAGGGAGCCCCGCGCCCGCCCTGCGTCACCCGGACTCCCCGCCGCCGCGCCCCGCCCGCGCTGCGCACCGTCGAAGTCCGTGTAGACCGTGTCCTTGAGCAGCGCGCCCGAGCCGAAGTCGATGAGCTTGAGCTCGCCCGCGCGCAGGTCCACCAGCAGGTTCTCGTCCTTGATGTCGCGGTGCACCACCCCGCAGCCGTGGCAGTGGCGCACCGCGGCCAGCACCTGTGCGAAGAAGCGCCGCGCCAGGGGCTCGTCCAGGGCGCCGCGCTCCGTGATGAAGTCGAAGAGGTCCTGCGCGGGCTCGGGCCGCTCCAGCACCAGCAGGAAGCCGTCGGGCCGCTCGAACCAGTCCAGCAGTCGGATCACGCCGCGCGCACCTCCGGCCGCGCCCACCTTGCGCAGCAGCACGACCTCCAGGGGCACCACGGCGCCGCCCTGGGGAAGCAGGGCAGGGGGTCAGCACGGCCCGCGCGGGGG